ATCGTTCGTCGTCGCGGTCGCCCTCCCACCCCCGTCCGCGAGAGGAGCTGCTGCGCGAGATCGGCTACCAGGAGGGCGCGAGCCAGCCGTGGAGGAGGGCACCAGGCGCCGAGAAGGAGTACGGCAGGCCCGAGCACGGCGACACCAGGCTCGACCCAGCGATCGCGGCGTGGCCCGACGGGATGCGGCGACCGATTCCGCAGGTTCTCACCGAGGGCCTGCCTAAGAAGCTGCCGCTGCCGACCTCCCAGCTGGGCTCAGACGTCAAGAAGATATTGCATGCTGGACCGCTGGTCGTCTCTTCGGCTCCTCGTCATATTCCTCTTCCTCATCGCCTTCACCCCCGGCTCAACATCCTCGCCACCTTCATCTCCTGCTGCTGTTGCTGGTCCTCATCCCCCTCCGATTGATCTCATTCCCCCCCCCCCCTCCGATGTTCCCCCAGCTCCTCCAGCTCCTCCTCCAGCTCCTCCTCCTCCTCCTCCTCCTCCTCCTCCTCCTCCTCCTCCTCGTCCTCCCACTCCCCATCCTCGTGGCTCATGCTGGTCATCCTGCCCCTCCCAGGGTCTTGGGCAGAGGCAGAAAATAATGGAAGGTGTCACTGCGGGAAACCACACTTGTTTGTGTCTGGGGCGGTTCATCTGAACGTCGTTCACGGCGCCCCCCCCCCCCCCCCACCTCCCCATCCCCCCCCCAATTAGCTCCGACCACGAACCCTGATTTGCCCGAAACGGGTAGCCAGCCACCCCACCCCCAGCGCACTGATACTGCTGCTCATCCTCGTCCCCCCTGCTCCTTCTGAGGAGTCGGCGGCTGCCCCTGGAAGGACGGGGCCACTGGCGCGAAGATCGTCGAGTCCATGGACAGGGGCAACCCTCGCATGAGGATCAGGGACGAGCGCGAGGAGAAGCCGCAGGTACTAGGGTTCCAGCTGAACAGGGGAGAGGGGGAGTGAGATGCGGATGGGAGGGGGGGGGGGGGGGGGGGAGAAGGGGGGGGGGAAACGATGAGGGGGAAACGAGGGCGACGATGCTGGCGAAAGCGAACAGGAGGAGGAGGAGGAGGAGGAGGAGGAAGAGAAGGAGGAGAAGAACACGAACAATACGAATAATAACAATACCGATGCGGAGACGGAGGAGGAGTTGGAGGAGGAGGAGGAGAAACGGATACCGAGGGGGCGCGAGTCGCGTGACATGAGAGAGCATGGGCCCCAGGTGGTGCAGCTGATGATCCACCTGTTCGACACCCCCGAGCAGTGCCTCGACTGCGCGCGCAGCCCCGCGGAGAAGTATATTGGAGGCCATCGGGGGCTCGGGGGGCGGGGGCGGGGGAGCGGAGATGTGGGGGGGCGAGGAGATGTCAAGTCTAGCTGGAGGGTGGAGGTGAGGGGGGCGGGCAAAGGAAGGGAGGCGCAGCGGTGCGCGGCGTGGAGGCTGGAGGACGGAAGGAGGCGACGCCCTCCCCCCACGGCCGAAGGCGCCAACAGGGAGGAGATCGAGATCATGAAGGACGGCATCCTCAAGGGCCGCAATGCGGTGGTGAGGACAGAGTTGCTGCCGCTGCCCCCTCCGCCCCCACCTCCCGATGACCTTCGGAAACAAATCATGGGGGCCGCGTAGACCCTCGCAAGTCCGCATTTAGCGTCGCTTCGCGTCTGGGAGTCGCAAGATGGCGCCGACGTAGCGCCGACAAGCGTCGATTCGCTTAGATATAGCGTCGATTAGCTTCGAGTTAGCGTCGGCTAGCGCCGATTCGCCAGAGCCAACATGATGGTATGGGAGGCTCGCATAAGTTGCCACAGAAATCTCCCATCCTCCTCCTCCTCCCTCTCCCCCTCCTCCCCCTCCTCCTCCTCATCCTGCCCCTCCTCCTCCTCATCCCTCTCCTCCCCCTCCTCGGAGGCTCGCATAGGTTGCCGCAGAAGCCTTCCATCCTCCTCCTCCTCCTCATCCTCCTCCCCCTCCCTCTCCTCCTCCTCCTCCTCCTCCTCCTCCCCCTCCTCCTCCTCTTCCTCCTCCTCCTCCTTCTCCGCATTCGTCTCATCCCCCCTCCTCCTCCTCCTCCTCCTCCTCCTCCTCCTCCTCTGGCTCCTCTGGCTTCTCGCCCCCGCCCTCCCGACTCCTCCCCTCGCCCTCGGCTTCCCCATTCAACCTGTCCTCGTTATCATATCTTTGTCCGTCCCTCCTCCTCCTCCCACCTCCTCCTCCCCACCCCTCCTCTTCTTTCTCCTTTCCTCCTCCTCGGCCCCCTCCTTCCCAACTCCTCCTCCTTCTCCTCCGCCTCCTCCCCCTCCTGCCCCCCCCCCCCCTTCCCTCCTCGCCCGCATCTTCATCCTCACTACTCCGCGTAGGAAGAAGCCTGCTGCAGCTATCAAAAGGCCTGCTGCAGCAGGCGACGAGGGCTGCCCATCCACGCCTCGAGGTGATCAGGCCAAGGGCTGCCCATCCACTACCAAGGCCAGGCCGCCGCCTGTACCTACATCGCCTGCAGCAGCACCGACGACGAAGAGGAGGCCGGCTGGTCAAGCTCCAGAGCAGGCGCCAGAACCAGCGGAGGACAGCAGCATCAAGCGGCAGATGAGCGCGGCCGACAACCAGGACAACTGGGTCGAATGCATCCTCCATCGCCAGCTCGGTCCCTCCCCCCTTCCTCCGAGACCCCTCCCCCCAGACCCCTCCTCCTCTTCCTCCTCCTCCTCATCATCATCAGCATCAGCATCATCATACTTGTCACCATTATCATCATCACCATCATCATCATCATCAGCATCATCATCAGCATCGCCTTCCTCTTCCTCCTATTCTCCCCCCTCCTCCTCATCCTCCTCCGCATCATCGCTAGTTCCTGCCCTTCGCACTGTCCCTCTTCCCTCCTCCTCGTCGATCCTCTTGTGGGCACATCCTCCGTTCTTACAGTCAACCCGCATCGCGTGGGCAACCTTCCCAAGGGTACCCTTGCATCCTTGCTCCTTCGGCCCACCATCAACGACTTGCGAAGGCCAACCTCGTTCGAACCAACAAATAGTTAACATGGGCCTCCGAGGCCCTTGCATCCTCACCGATCATCTCTATGCTACGGGTTGAATGTACTGCCAACCCATCAGTCCCCAGCCCGATGGGCGCAGTGGAAAGGACTGGACGCCGCTGGGTTGGGCCAGGAGCAGCCCGGATGCATTTCGTCGCTCGGGGTGAACACGAGGCGAGGGAGCGCTGGGCCACTCGGTGCCAGAACAGATGACCGCTCTCGCATTGTCACGCCCACCCCGTCCGCACATCCCCGCCGTTCTCTCATCGGACCGTTCCCTGGGCAAGATCAGGTTCGGGGCTCGCCGTTGCCCTACCCCCCCTCTCGTTCATAGATGCGAGGTTCTAGCAAGAAAGCATGGCTGATTCGACCCACCCGAAGGCGCGATGAACCCAGCGTGCGCGAGAGCAGGAATATCGGGAGGGGAGGGCGAGGAGAGTGACAAGGAGGGGGATGGCGATAATCGCGGCAGACTTCAGAGGAGGATAGGAGGAGGAGGGGGGGAGGAGGAGGAGGAGGAGGGGGAGGAGTTGGAGCTCAGGGCCATGGCCGCCGACCGCCATACAATAAAGGTGCCGACTCGTAAAGACCGCTTTGGTCTCAGGAGGAGCTCGAGTTGTCGGGCAGGCCTGAGCTAGGTCGGGGAACCTATTCTTGGCCGAGGCTCGCCGTGGTCAGGAAAGCGTTTTCGTTCCTTAGCTCGCGTTCCAGGGCAGCGACTTGACTGTGCGCAATTGAAATATCGTGGCCTGTGTGGCTCAGAATTTCTTCCAGGCGGACTGGTGGGCAGACCAGCGGTTCCTGGCCACATGGCGCCCCCCCCGCCCGCAGCGTGTTCATCGCAGACTCGGGCGCCCCACCGCCATGGATCCGCATCGCCGCGGCGACCGTCTCAGCAGGCCAGGACCTGCAACGGGTCCAGCAGCAGCGGGCCCAGCAGGCCCATCAGCAGGACCAGATGACCCAGCAGCACGACCAGATGACCCAGCAGCGCGACCAGATGACCCAGCAGGACCAGATGACCCAGCGCGACCAGATGACCCAGCAGGACCATATGACCCAGCAGCGCGACCAGATGACCCAGCAGCGCGACCAGATGACCCAGCAGGACCAGATGACCCAGCGCGACCAGATGACCCAGCAGGGCCAGATGACCCAGCAGCACGACCAGATGACCCAGCAGCGCGACCAGATGACCCAGCAGGACCAGATGACCCAGCGCGACCAGATGGCCCAGCAGGACCAGATGACCCAGCAAGACCAGATGACCCAGCAAGACCGGATGGTCGTCGCGCAGCAGGCGCAGCAGGCCCAGCAGCAGCAGCAGCAGCATCAGCAACAGCAGCAGGCCCAGCAGGTCCAGCAGCAGGCGCAGCAGGCCCAGCAGCAGCAGCAGCATCAGCAACAGCAGCAGGCCCAGCAGGTCCAGCAGCAGCAGCAGCAGGCCCAGCAGCAGCAGCAGGCCCAGCAGGTCCAGCTGGCCCAGGCCCCGCAGCAGGCCACTCAGGCCCAGCACCAGCAGCAGGCACAGCAGACAGCAACAGGTCACAAAGCGTCATAATCATTGGACATATCGCCCCCTATAGTCGCCCGCCGCTCCCCCTTCCTTCACGAGGAGGGGGACTGGCTGAGTGGCTCACGGGCGCAAGTGGTTTGTCGAGGCGGGGGTGCGCGCGGAGGTTACGTGGTGCCGATGTGGGAGCAGTCGCACAGCCAGCAGCACGATGAGGAGGCGCAGGAGCTGAAGAGGCAGGCTGCCGAGGAGGAGAAGCGCAGGCACATGACCATGCCGCCCCCGCCGAACCCTCGCAAGATCCTGTCGCCGCCGCCGCCACTCGTGCCGATGCCGCAGCCCTCGCAGGAGTGTGGCTATGACCGCTCCTCTTCCTCCTCCTCCTCCCCCTCCTCCTCCTCCTCCTCCTCCTCCTCCTCCTCCTCCTCCTCGTCCTCCTCCTCCTCCCCCTCCTCCTCTTCCGCCTCCTCCTCCTCCCCCCCCTCCTCCTCGTGGCGCAGTGGATCCGAGCTCCTCCTCCTGATCATCTTTCTCCTCGAGGCCCTTGAGCTGGGCTCGACGGCTTCGGCCCCCCTCGCCCTTCCAAATTCCCCACGTTCTCTCATGACTCATCTCGCCGCTCCCCCCCGTGCATCCACCCCTCACCCCGCCTCCCAGGAAGAGCAGATTCGCTTGCTGACGCAACAACTGTTCGAGCTGAAGGCGGCCGCAGGCATGCCGTGTGCCGCGCGCGCTCAAGTTGACGAGGGAGCTCCGTGCGACGTGCCCGCGCTGGCGCCCGGCACGTGGAACCCACGCGGCCCGCGCGCCGCAGCGGCGGAGGCCGCTGCGACGGGCGCGGTCGCGGAGGCGGTGGGCGCGGGCGCGGACGCTGCGCGGGCAGGCGGTGCAGAGGAGTTGCAGGATGTCTCCTGTCTGCACCTCCTCACGCCATCACCCTTTCCCCCATCATCCCACTCCTCCCCACCACCCTCATCGCATCCATTCCCCGAGCTCTCCTCCCATCTCCCCCCTCGCTCCTCCCCCCCCCCCCCCCCCACGCACCCGCCCTGCGAGGATGCAGCTACGGCCGAGCGGATTCTGGCTGAGAACGCCAAGCAGCACACCGCAGAGGTCAGCCCCCAACGGGCTGAATCTAACGGAGGGCCCACCGTGTCCCAGGGGCGGGCGGCGAGCTGAACCCATTGGGGCATTCCTTGGAGGAGGACCAGGAGGAGGAGGGGGGGGGCGACGAGGATGAGGAGGAGGCCGACGAGGAGGACGAGGAGGACGAGGTGTCTCCCAAGTTCGCCTCCTCATCCTCCTCTCCACTGCCTCATCCAGCGAGGTCCCCGCGGACGCCGTGGCAAGCGATGCGGCCTCGTCCGACTTCGTCCATAGTGACCCCCTGATCCAGGCTGCGTTCGAGAATGACTTCCAGTTCGATGCGAACTCGTCGCTGGGCGTGAAATTTTACAGGAGCTCGGGGGCAAGTTTGCCAGCGGCAGCGATCGCACCGATACCAGCGACGCCGATAACGTCAACGACATCGATGGCACCGATAACGATTCCACATCGTGGTATGATTATCGCGTTTGCAAGTGGTGTCGGTCTTATGGTGTATATATATATATATATATATATATATATATAGTATCCGATACGATTGAAGGGGGGATTTCGGGGGACGGGCGCGGGCCGCCGCCCAGGAACCTGACCCCGTCAGCCCTGCAGAAGTACAAGCAGCTGAACAGGGGCATGAAGAAGACCGAGCGCGAGCAGTGGGTGCGCAAGCTCTACAGTGAGGCAAAGGTGATACACCCTCGTCTCCATTCCACCCCTGCTCGGCCTTCACATCTCGCTCCCCATCCTCTGTGCTCTTGCATCCTCGCCACCCTCGTCCTCACTATCGCCGTTGCTACTGCTGCTCCTCTCCCCCTCCACCATTGTCGTCGCTGCTGGTGTCTCAACTCATCCGCCCTCTCCTCTTTGTCCTCCTCCTCATCCTCCTCAGAATCATCACCATCATCATCATCATCATCAGCATCATCATCATCAACAACAACAACATCATGTCATCATCCTCCTCCCCATCCCCCCTCCCTCCCTCCTTCCAGGCACCTCTTGTCGCCTCCAGTTCGTTCTTCATGCCGCGCCCTCCGCCGCTTCAGGCGAAGCGCGAGAAGGCGCAGGTCGAGACGTCCACCGAGCGAGAGCGGGGCGCGATGACGAACCTGGACTCGATCATTCGCGAGGAACGGGTGCATGATCGCCAGAGCCACTGTCCCCAGTAACTTGTCAACTCACCCCCATGCGCCCCCCCCCTGAGGCTGCTGCCGAAATTCGCAGGGAGGGGTCGTATAGAGATGAGTTCACGAGTTCTCGAACTTCCCGTACTCACATCTTCTCGACCACCAATATATTGGCCAGCCTCGTCCCCGCCCGACCCCCATTGCCCGCGTGCGATCTGCCTGGTAGTATCAGAGCAGCTGTTCCCATATATCAGCTAGTGAACTCACCTCTATAGACCCGTCCCTGTTACATCAAAGTAGCATGGAGGGGTCGTGAAAATGCCATGAGTTCTCAAAATTCCCGTACGCCCAGTTTCTCGACAATCAGCCCTGGCCAGCCCCGTCCACGCCCGACCCCCTCCCCCGCGTGTGATCGGGCGCCGTCTCAAGGAAGGAGGCCGCAAATCGGCGGCGGCGGTGCAGGGGGCCATCAACTATTGCGCCGCCGCCACCAAACTGGGCCGGTGCAATATGGGACACGAACGGGGCAGGGCCCGCGGGGCTTGCTGCCTCCACTCCTCTTCCCTCCTCGACAGATCACTCCGTTCTCCCCTCTTCCGTGCCCTCGCGCCATGCCTTCCCTCCTCTTCCCTCCTCCATCCCTTCTCCCTATCTCCCTCGGTGTCTCCCGTTCCCTCTCGCCCTCTTTACCGCTCTCGTCTCTCGCTCCCCCTCCCCTGCATGCTCCCGCATCTCCCCCTATCTCTATCGAGTTAGCTCTCTCTCTCTCTCTCTCTCTCTCTCTCTCTCTCTCTCTCTCTCTCTCTCTCTCTCTCTCTCTCTCTCTCTCTCTCTCTCTCTCTCTCTTTTTTTTTTTCTCTCTCTCTCTCTCTCTCTCTCTCTCTCTCTCTCTCTCTCTCTCTCTCTCTCTCTCTCTCTCTCTCTCTCTATCTCCCCCCCAGGGAGAGAGAGGGAGAGAGAGATTGAGAGGGACAGAGAGCCCTCGAGAAACAGGAAGCGATGGAGGGACGGAGGGAGGGGCATAGGGATGACGAAATGAGGGAAGTGTGAGCGAGAGAGAACTCTCTAGATATAGCTCTCCAGGGGTGGAGGGGAGCGAGAGAGAGAGAGAGAGAGATCTCTCTCTCTCTCTCTCTCTCTCTCTCTCTCTCTCTCTCTCTCTCTCTCTCTCTCTCTCTCTCTCTCTCTCTCTCTCTCTCTCTCTCTCTCTCTCTCTCTCTCTCTCTCTCTCTCTCTTCTCTCTCTCTCTCTCTCTCTCTCTCTCTCTCTCTCTCTCCTCTCTCTCTCTCTCGCTCTCTTTTTTTTTTTTTTTTTTTTTTTTTTTTTTTTTTTTTTTTTTTTTTTTTTTTTTTTTTTTTTTTTTTTTTTTTTTTTTCTTTTCTCTCTCTCTCTCTCTCTCTCTCTCTCTCTCTCTCTCTCTCTCTCTCTCTCTCTCTCTCTCTCTCTCTCTCTCTCTCTCTCTCTCTCTCTCTCTCTCTCTCTCGCTCGCGCTCTCTCGCTCGCTCGTTCTCAGTTCCCTCCCGCCGTCCCGCCATCTCCCTTGCATGCCTCTCTCGCTATATCCCTCTATCCCTTTCGCTGCGCCCGCGCCGTCGCAGAAAGGTTCCAGTGCAACGACATGACGAAGCGGGTCGAATTCCTTTACAAGAAGAAGGGGTTCGAACGCACATTCCAGACGCGCTGGAGCCTGAGAGAGCAGGAGGTCGCGCGCAAGAACCATAAACAGGTGTTGGGCATCGAAATGGCGGGAGGTGGAACGAGTGAGGAGGCGGGGCAGGAGGAAGACGAGGACGAGGAGGAGTGAGGGCCCGACCGCAACAAACGCGATCGAGGGCCAGTGAACACGCGCGGCGGAGAGACAACGGCCGAACGATCAACCGACGTCCGAAACCCGAAGGGACAACGTGGATGACGAACCCATATGAGGATAATGATGATGAGGCGCGGTGAGGAGCGTCAGGATGAGGGAGAGGAGGGGGATGGGATAGGAGGAGGAGGAGGAGGAGGAGGAGACGGAGGGCGAGGAAGAGGAGCTGGGGGATATGGAGGGAACATGTAGTGCTATATAGTCGTGGCTCCCCCTCCCGAGGCGGCGGTCGCCGATGAGCTGGGCGCGCATCTTGCGACGATGAGCGGGCAGGCGGCGGCGGGCGCGCAGCTTGCGACGACGAGCGGGCAGGCGGCGGCGCGCGCGCAGCTGTCGGCAGGAGCGGCGCCGAGAGCGCCGCAGCCCTCGGCAGAGGCGGCGCCAGGAGCGGCGCATCCCTCGGCAGGGGCGGCACCAGGAGCGGCTGACGAGGCATCATCGGCAGGGGCGGCACCAGGAGCGACAGGAGCTGCGGCGGCAGGGGCGGCAGGGGCGGCACCAGGAGCGGCTGGCGAGGCATCGGCGGGGGCGGCGCCAGGAGCGGCAGGAGCTGCGGCGGCAGGGGCGGCGCCAAGAGCGGCTGGCGCAGAGGCATCGGCAGGGGCGGCGTCAGGAGCGGCAGGGGCGGCACCAGGAGCGGCAAGGGCGGCGCCAGGAGCGGCTGGCGCAGAGGCATCGGCAGGGGCAGCACCAGTAGCGGCAAGGGCGGCGGCGGCGGCGGCGGTCGTGTTGCCGACGGCAACGGTCGCGGCTGAGACGCCATTAAGCAAAAGTAAAACAGGAGACGAACTCAACGCGGGTGAGAAGAAGGGCAAGAGGCGCGGCCTGTCGGCGCCTGCGAAGAGGCCTGCAGGGGGCGGTAAGAAAGCAAGGAAGGATGAGTCTGAGGAGGCGAGAAAGCTGAGGGAGGACGAGGAGGCTGCTACCGACAGTGCGCTGCAATTCCGCAAGCAGCTGTCGGCAGGGAACGCGATGTTGGATCTCGTCAGCACGAACTCCCAATGGGCAACGCGGGGAACTAAAGCTAACGAACGAGTTGCCCTGCCTCATGAGAACTACTTGCCCCCGCCGTCCCACCCCCCTGCTTCCCCTTCACCCTCTCCCCCTTCGCCCTCGCAGTGCATCTCGCAATAATTCCCCCCAGCTCGCGGTGGGCACCCTTGCCCGATGTTACGCGAATCCCCCCTTGAGGCGAGCTTCAAGAACACTCCCGAGATCAAGGCGCTTGAGGAGAAGGTGAGCATGCTGAACCAGATCTGCCAGACGAACACGTTCGCCCAGCTATTCGTCAACATGGACGCACAGGTGGCGCAGGTTCTTCTTGCGATTTTGATGTTTCCATACAGTCGAGCTCCGCGCTTCAGGATTACAGTATTCGGCCTGGCCTAAGGAATAATAAGTAAGGAACGGAGTCACTTTTGTCCAAGTAAGTCTTGGAAATCCGACGGAACTCCAGGGGGGCTTGCCGCCAAAAAGGTACCAGAACGCGTGCAAACCAGAGGAGCGACCGAGCCCCTTCTGAAAAGTAAGTGTTCCTTATTCAAGCCGAACCCTGTAGGCATTCGCTAATGTTGGTGAGATTCGCAACTGCATGCGTACAGCGGTGATGATTGCAGAAGGTTCCGGGTGCGATCCCACTCCAATTCTCTCCGCCCTCTGCCTCAGCCATGTCCCAATCCCCATCGATCCTCTACCCTATACCCGCCCCGCTCACTCCACCCGCCCAATCCCCCTCTACCGCATGCCTCGTGAGGAAAGGATGGAACACATTTGACCGCAATGGTCCACTCCGCCTATCTATGCTCGCCTCGCCCGCTGTCACTCCCCTGTTATGTTAAACATTGCTTCGCAGCGACTGTGCGCGGGCGACTACGCGCTCGCCGTTTCGAGGCCCCCCTTCCAGCTCGACACGGTCACTGAGGATATGGAGAAGCACGTGAGCGGCATCATCGCCCTCCGCAGCACGAAGGAGAAATACTTCCATGGACAGTAAGGGCCATGTTCGAATTGCGTTCCCCTCCTCCGTTCACGTCAGTCCCCAAACCTAGATCAGACCCCCCCCCCCGTCGTCGGCACCTGGCCCTCCGCCCGTCGCCCAGGCCCCCTGTCGCCGCCCTGTCGGCCCCTGGCGCCCGAAAATGTGCGTGTTAAGATTCTGGTAAGATTTGTTAAGATTTGTTAAGATTTGAATCTTGACACGCAAAAAACCGGTTAAGATTGACCCACCTCATTCTTGACCCACAAAATACCGGTTAAGATTGCAAAACAGAATCTTGACACGCAAAATACCGGTTAAGATTGGTGTTAAGATTTGTTAAGATTTGCTGAGATTTGCTACGATGTGTTAAGAATTGTCAAGGTTCCCAGCGCGCCGCTGAGGCGCCTCGATGGGGGTCAGGCGCGCGCCCCACTCCCCCCCCCCCCCCCCGCGCGCCCAAACAATGCCTGGCCCTCGGGAGCCCAGCCGCCCCCCCTCCTGATCTCATGGGCCCCTCGTCATGCCATGGAGGGGGCCATCTCCCCATCCTTCCCCCTCGAGGGCTGGGTCAGGCACGAGAGAAGCAGATCGCAGGTGACGCACGCGGCTGCAGGGCCCGTCCTCTAGCCAGGGCTTTCACGGTTCCCTCGTCATGCCACTGGCAAGAGACATCTCCCCATCCTTGAGGCCCCCCCCATCCTCTTCTTATCCGCAAGTTTCCTCTACGTGCCTCCTCCCGTGCCTCACCCTGCCCACGCCCCCCCCCCTCCTCCTCTTCCCCTTCCTCCTCCTCCTGCGCCCCCCTTCCTCCTCCTCCTCCTCCTCCTCCTCCCCCTCCCACTCCCGCCCTCCTCCTCCTACCCATGCCTCCCATCCCAAGTCCTCTCGAACCAGCCCTTCTCATCCACGTCCCGCCGAGCCCAGGTGAAGGCGCCCCACGCTGATAATTCGGCGAACCCCAGGGTGGACGGGGCGACGCAGCTCACATTTACGCACAGCCGTGGCCTGCTGGACATATCGCGAGGATCCGCGCAAGGAGCGTGGTAAGGGGGAGGTGGAGTTAGGCAAATGAGAGGGGGAATGGAAGCACAAGGCGGTGCAATCATTCCGCTGAAATAAGGACCGTCTTCGGCTCAGCAGGGTCTCCTTTTTTTTTTG